GTGGGCCGGTCCCTGCCACGGAGAAGGCAGGGACCGAATTTGACGGGGCTGCGCGTCCCCGGGGAGCAGTTACTGCCTCGCTAGGGAACGCCAAGGCCTCGCACCTCTGCTCGAGCCTCAGCGCCGGAGTGGAGCAGCGCACCGCGCCTCGGAGCACACAGTTTCCACAACAAAGCTGGGAGCAAACCGTCACCCGGCTTCACCCGGATGACGGCTCCGCAGGTGCTGCTCCGGCGGTGTAACAGATTCAGCCGCCCGAGCCGGACCTCCCCGGCTCTGCTGCCCTGCGCTGCGGGGATCCGGGACAGCCACCCCCAGTGGGACAAACTCCCTCCCAGTCGAACCATCGACCTGTGCTGGGCCAAACCGGATGCGAATTTAGATGGGCCAAGCTTGGCATTCCTTGGCCCAGGTCTGAGGTTCCCGGTGCCTGCGCTGCCGGCAGAGATGCCCACCTCACCTCGTATCTGAGCGTGGAAGTTGGGTGCCAGCACTTTCTGCAGGTAGGGAGCCCTGGCCTGCTGCAGCACGCACAGCGACCACACCAGGTCCGTCAGCAGCAGGGGGTCCAGGCTGTCCAGCTGGTCCTGCAGCTTCTCATGGACCTAGAGAGAAGGGAATCGACAGCTCAGCCTCAGCCGATGCCCTGATCCTGATGTCAACGTGCAGGCCTGGCAGGTCAACCCATCCCCGAGGCATTAAGGGGAACCTGATGCGCAACGTCTTCTCTACCGCAGTGCTTCTGCTGGGCTATTCTGCCCAGGAATCACAGCCAGAGGAGGAAGCTCCTCACCTCACAGGATTTCCTCCCGTTAAACCAGGCCTATCTGGACAACTCTTTTGTCCGGAGCCCCTGGCTGACCTGGGGATGCTACTTCCACATCTTGCCCTTCTCGCTGTCCCAGGGAGACCTCCAGCTCCCCAGCACAGCTAGGCCACGAGGGACAAGCCGCCTTGCAGCGGGACGCTGGGTCCTGCCCACGAGCAATGCCCATTTAGGCCCTGTTCCTTCTCGGCTGCACGTCGCACGGGAACTCCCCAGCCAAGCAGAGAGAGGCGGAGGAAGGGGAAAGGCGCAAGGCCACGGAGGATCCCTGGAAGCTGCCTGTCCTGCTGCTGTCCCCCAGCGCTCGTGGGGCTGCAGGCCGCTCGGCAGGGCCGGGCAGGCGGAGAGCCGCGCTCCCTCTGCTGGGTGCTCGGCGACTGCTCGCGCCCGCTCAGGGCTAAGTAGCTCCTCTCTGGAAAACGCTGGCCTACATCTGTCCCCGAGGAGATGAGCGGCAAAGCTGCGGGGCTTTCAGTGACGGCGGTCGTGATCTCAAGGTCACGTACGCAAGCTGACTCCCTCCTCTGCTTTTCAGACCTAAATCTCCTCTGAGCACGGCCTAATAGGGACAGCACTTTTCCCAAAATAGGCCGAGGGAATCTCTCCCTTCAGGTAGGTGGGGAAGGACCTGGTGGCACTACGGACGCGTTCCCTCACCCAGGGACATGGCAAGCGTCAGCACAGGAGATGGCAAAGCCAGGGGAGGGACGCTAACGGGACGCTCTGCGCCCTGAAGCGTCCTGGCACAGCAACGCTGCCCCCTGGGGACCTGAGAGCCCCGTAATTTCCAGGGTAACTCTGGTCCCCCCAAAGCCCAGCAGCGCTCTAGGCCAGCCTGGCGCTGGGGGCAGAGCCAGGCCCT